TCGCTCTTAATTAAAGTTAATATTGTCACTAAGGGAGTGAAATTCTGTGGTATATGATGCCTGATTATTGCACTTGAGACACACATTAGATGTGTTTAAATTGCTCTGGTTTAAAAATTTTGTCTTAGAAAAAATATTTGCTGGATATGTGCTAAAAATGAATAGATACAATGTAATCAAAACACATGCTTTGGATAAAGAAAAGAATCTTATCTTACCTTATCTTATTTTATAGTGTTGAAATGTAGCAAAAGAAGCTGCAATGGTAAAACCTCATGGGTAACTTTTATGGTCCTGAGCAGAGCTATCCAAATGAGACCCTGATGGTAAACTCCTTCACGTTGAGTGTCACTCATTGAAGAATGTGTTCTCTAATCTGTATCACAAATTAATTCTGACATTGTCATACAAACACTCTCATACATTTTTATACTGGCTATCAATTTTAATACATTTGAGATTAAAACTAAATATTGTGAATTTTCATTAACAATAAAACTAAAAATTGTGAATGTTAACAAAATTGTATTATTTTAAAAATATCTACCTTATGATAATTATAGTTTATAACATCCTACAGTTGTAAATAAATTGTAATTTAATGTAATGCTTATTGGTAAGCCCTTGACCATGTGTTGTTTACCCTAAAGAGCCACAAACATGATGTTTTTAACATAGTCAGATCCCACTGTGTGGCTCAACTAGGTCTAGATGCTTTAGCTTTATAAAATCTTTGTCACCCCCCCCCCTTCCCCGCCATCGACAGCAGCCAGCAAGATCGTTTATTGGTCAGAGGAGGGGAATTAGTCAGGGTAGTATAATTTAAAAAGATATGTTTTGAGTGCAGTTTTGAAGGCCTTGGTGGTTGGTATATTGCGGATGTGTAGTGGCAAAGAATTCCATTGTTTGGGGGCGCAGAAAGAGAAAGCTCGTTCACCATATGTTTTAGTGTGTGTCTTGGGAACGGACAGAATACGCGTGTCTGCAGAGGAGCGAAGCTGTCGAAGGGGTGAATAGACAGAAAGAAGTTCGGTTAGATAGGAAGGGCAGGAATCCAAGAAAAAGTTGTGACAGAGAACAGACAACTTGTAGACAATGCGTGCCTGTATAGGTAGCCAATGAAGGGAATGGAGTAATAGAGTGATGTGATCAATTTTTTTTTGCCTTTAAAACTAGCCTAGCAGCTGAGTTTTGAACTTTCTGCAGTTTTTCTATGCAGTGTTTTGGTGAACCTGACCGAAGAGAGTTGCAATAGTCAAGACGAGAGAGAACAAGAGCACAGACAAGAGTTTTTGTAGCGCTAACTGTGAGGTAGTGACGTATGCAGCTGATCTGACGGATAGTGGTGTATGCTGAACGACAAATGAATGTGAGATATGTTTATCGAGAGACATGTTGTTAGAAAGAATATAACCAAGATTCCTCGCAGAGTGTGTAAACCATACGTCAGAGTGATATAAAATTAAAACTTCCTCTTTACCTGATGGAACTAAAGGCCTAAAATAGCGTCTTTTTGTTCATGTACAATAACCATTTCACAAAATTGAACAAGATAAAAAAAAAAAGTAGCCTACATTTCATGAATCTTTTGTTATAAATGACGCCATTGTGGGAAAACAAGGAGAACTCTTCTGTCTTCAAAGATACGTTATAAAAGTTGCCCAATTGGATATATTTAGATTTAAATAATTTTTTTAAAATTTTATAGATTTATCTACTTTGTCTGATATTCTTTCTAGCCCACTGGATCCATGCACAGCAATATAAAGGTGGTACTAGCAAGGGACCTCAATATCAGGGGCGCATTCACCCAGGGCGCTGCTTTTCCTTTGCACGGTTGTGCATCCATTACGGACGTAACGCGGCTAGAATTTTGAGGGTGGGGGTTATGTGGGAAATGTTTGTTAAAACTTTAAATAAAATTGTCAATTTCCTTTCTTAAAATTTGTGACAGTTTCGATTTCTTTCTCAATAAATAGCTGGTGATTTACTAAGACTAAGAGGCAAAAAGCGGCAAAGTAATGAAATATATGTCAGTAGCGAAATAAACAACATTGCAAATAGATGACTAACAAAGCAACTTGGCTCCATCCAGATACATAAAATCACTAACACACTGCCTCTCATTTTACTCACAACAAACCAGAGTCAACTTAGGTGGCATCTAAATAATTAATTTCCATCTATCAAATTAGAGCTGACCATTTAAATAGCTTATTTGCCTACTATGACTCACAATTGTCGTGAAAAAGTCAATCCACTTGCATAGGAAGGGGGCTGAGGAGGGGGTTGTCCACACAGGTCCCACTTAAAAAAAAAAATTATAATGAGGGGCGGCATTTTCGGCGAGCTGAAGAGTTTTTAAAAAAAAAAACTTAGTGGTAGTGGGTGGCACAACTTTCTAGTGAACATATCGCAACATAACCCCGTGTCCACATTTAGCCATACATTCTCACGACTGTCATTGTAACTATATGTCGATTCTCCTCCTCCTTAGCGTCCTGTAACTAAAGTAACTTGATCTGAGACCACTTTTCGGACCGCGGAGGATGCCTGTACTGATTCTATCAGTGATAGCAGTTTAATAATAAATATAATCGTTGTATAATGTTAAAAATGTCTGTAATTTAGTGTCATTAAGTGCAAATCTTTACTACAATATTCCGCTTTTCATGTGACGTCACGTTGCTTGAGGACCCCCCCCCCCGACACGTGACGTAATTTATGGATGACCCCTATTGCAGACTCAATGAAACGTTTTTTAAAGACTATTTCATTGTTTGTGTAGGTATTAATATGATTATTGTCATATTGGTGACAAATGTAGCATAGTTTCTAGCTGCTTTCATCTTCCCAGGGAGTAGCCAGATGTTGGTCTATCCGTAATTTACGATAGACTAACACCTGGATACTCCCTGGGAAGATGATAGCAGTGATTAGCAGGCAGCTCTCGGGGGTGGGGGGAGTACGATTATATTTAAAAAAAATTAAAAACGACTGAATTGTCATTTTTTAACAGTTTTAAGAAGAATAGTAACTGGTGTTTATCCGATTACAATTAGTGGACTCCATTAAATATCGCTACACTCGATATATTTGATGATCCGTATATTTAAGGGCTTATAGTCATAGTATTCGATTAAAAATATCTTTAATGGCCGCTTCTGATTATTTATAAGCCCTTACTTCTCGTTGTTCGCACAACGGTATTTTTATTATTATTTTTTGTGTGTACACATTTTAAGACTTTAATAACACTGCATTAAAATACCTTTACATCAAGATCAAGGGCTACAATTCTAATAATATATCTTGTAGGGAGAATTGGACACATTAATTAAAAGAGATTGTCCTGAATTAAAAAGGCAACAATCAAGTAAACACTTGACAAATTACTTTATGTCATTAACTCTGTTTAAAAGGTTCACTATTTTAACCTAAAGTAACAGTCACACAGGAATCCTGCAATCTTGAAAGAGTTTATTGAGTCTGAATATTCTTTGACTGCACTAAGCAGTTGTACTTTAATTTTAACAGCCTGATGTAACTAATTCTGAATGTAGCAATTCAAAATGGAAAAAATGTGATCAACTGCAGGTTGAAATTTCAAACTTATCTGCAGCCTTGTTTGCCATTAATAAGGAAAAATGTATTTTAGTATTCTTCGAGACCAAATGTTCAAATTCTATATTGAAATCCCTGTTTGAGTTAAAAAATAACAAAATTGTCGGCATGACCTTCATTACAAAAAAAAAAAAATTAAAATGAATTTTAAGTAAGTGTAGATTTAATAAGTCAGACCTCATCATTGAAAAAAGCCCGGAGCAACAACAATGTATTGTTTACAAGAGAAGTATATGCAAGTTAAGAGCTCATTTGAAAATAGCACTTAAATGATACAGATAGGCAGAAAGGGCTGGTGGGGATATTCTGGATAAAGATTTTAGTTTAAAGAGCGAAGAAAATATTTTTTCTGCTGACACACATAAAGCTATTGTTTCCCAACTTATGTGTGATGGAAAAGTTTCCGCTGTGAATCTTTCTAGTGTCCTCAACATTGTGTCAAAAAGTATTTGAAAGATTTTTCTCTCAACTTGCATGTAAATATGCTTGAGGAGGGGTATGTTAAAAGTAATTTTCAAGTAGCCCATGTAGGGAAACCACCCCACTTGTTTCGCCAGTGCAGTGTAAAGTTGTGACCAGTTTTCCTTTCAGCCCCCCCACCCCCCCCAGCATGTCAGGTGCCATTGGGAGAACATGTGTATCACACATTTAACATATATATGAAATATAAAGTATTTTATACTATAATAACATAACTAGTTGCAATATTCCTACAAGGGCTACAACAGTGCTTCCCAAGATTTTTGTTTCTTTACCTGAAGAAAATGATTTTAATGCTCAGCATCCCAATTTAGTGTTGGTGGTTCTTATTTAATCCTTATATATAGGCTGGCAGCTTTCCTAACAGGAAATTTACGAGACATTACATAATTGCACTCTTTATATGCCTGTATAAGTAAATATTTGTATCGGTAACTTTCAAGGATTTTACCTTTTCACCTGCTGTGCTGTAAGTTTATACACGGTAGTTTTCAGCTTTGTACCATATTTGTAAATTAAATTTAATATTGTTAGTATACACTAGCTTTGGTATCGTTTTCTTTGCATAGTGCTTTTGGCATTGTTTACTAAACTAGCCAAATCTTTTAAAAGATTAAATTTTTCAAACCATAACGGCATGTTCTTTCCAAGAAAATGATATTTAGTAGATACTAAAAGTAGAATGTTAATATTAATATGGTCCTCCAAGAGATTTGACAATAGTTAATGTTATACATTTATTTGCATGCACATATTAGTATATTATAACTATAGAGTCACCATTTCCTTATAAACTATAATAGTCCAGAGCAGAATTTTTCACCAAAAAAAAGAATTATGTGCAAGTGTAAAAATAATAAAACAAAAGAAAATGGCAATTAGTTGATAAAATGTTGAAATTTATTATGATTATTTGTCAAATTTATAGTACAGACATAACAAAAAGTTTTCAAGCATTAGGCACTTTTCAAAACCATATGCAGGAATCTCAGTACCCAAGGAGTAGCAACATACCTACATACATCATTATTTAGAACTGCCTCTTATTAAAATATGTAGCATAAATCAATCTCAAGCCCTAGGAGAAAGTTTTCAGGGCTACATGTGGGCACCTGAGTTTGAGACTTGGTGTAATGAATGTAATAAAAATAGAATGGGATTAATGTACAGCACAAGTCAGTTTGAAATGTTATATCAATCAAAACTGTACAAGTAAAAAAAATATCAAAACTAAATGATAAATAAATCACCTACAATTAATAAAGAGAAAAAAAGTTTCCAGTCCACATAAACAAAAGCATTACTGAGCGTGGAGACGTAACATTGGAGCCTTACATTAGAGTACCAAAATAATGAAATATATGGTACGGCTAACAGAATGTCATATTGTGTAAAATTCACCATTTCAGTTCAAGAATTCTTAAACTCAGCAATTATCTCGTCCACTTTTAAAATCGTAATCAAGCAGTAGTCATTTCTATATGCAAGCTGACAGACTCAACACAGTTAATTACAGGTACCGGTAACAAAAACTATCCACAGCTTATTAAGAACATAAACCTTTTGAAAGTTGCTAAATTCATCTTCATGGAACTAAGGGTTTGCTACACCCAAAATTGATTACTGGTTCGGCATTGTGAATTTTTTCTTCCTCAAATGATCAGTCTTCTGATGAACTGAAAATAAAAACTACAAATTTAAAAAAATACAGGAGCCATAATACATAACAAATCTGGAATTATATATATATATATTAAAAAAATGTATACCTAAGGAAATAATTTTAAAATATGGAAATGGAAAACGAGTAAAGAGGAATAGAATGGTGTTGGAATATTTTATCAAAGATAAAGGGGAAAAACCAAGAAAAATAATATTTGGAAAGCATTATGATTATGAAGCATATGATACAAATAACAAAATGAGAAAATATGTTTTAAAATACCTTGAACTTTTACTATCCTGTGAAGAAGATGACTTTTCTGACGAACTAGTTGTGGATGATTTTGAGAGAAATGCTGAAATTCCCTTTTGCCAGTCAGGTGTGGGTCGTGGACAAACAGGATTTCCACCCGCATATTTACCTTTACCTGGTGAAATAAACATTTGCATCACACTAGGAAAGCTTTAAAATTCATCTGTTGTATATATGTGTTTATTTAAACTGCGAGTGCTTACCTCCCAAAAGGACTTTGACTTCACTTTTTTTTCTGACTTTTTAATAAAATAACAGTTATTTAGATCTTTTAACTTGACAGTTTTTGAAAAATTATTATGTATTAGGCTAATAAAAAAAATTATAGGATTATTTTACACTGAAACTCAGATCAATTTAAAAAGCTTGACAGGCCCCAGCACTAGCTACACCAATTCATACATTTATTCATAACTGACATGTCCTTAGCCAACTTATCTTAAAATATATGGATTGAGTTATAGTTGTTCTTTATAATGTAGGGCCAAGTAAGTATGGATTGTAAAAAAATATTTACCTGCAGGTGAGCCTCCATCACTGCTACTTGAGCTTGAAGAAGCTCCTCCTAAATTTTTTCTTGGGGCTTGTGCTGCTACCACTGTAAAAATATAAATAATGATATATCAAAAAAATTTAAAAAAATATTTTGTAACCCAATAACATTCTTATAATACATCAAGACCTTTCATTCAGTGTTTGCATATACACTATAGGCTTCTCTATTAAAAATGAAGTAATAATTATTCAACATTTCTCAGGTAGTCTTGAATTGATAAGCAAATTGTTGCAAGGTATGAAAGACTTAGAATGGGTATTCTCGTATGTAGTTTTTGTAATGTTGCATTTTGTACTTCAATGTGGTATGTACTATGTACTGCGCTGCGAGCCTTTGGGGATGAATCGTGATTTTCAAATAATCTTTATTATTATTATCAGATAAAAAATTAGGCCCACTACTACTTGCAATTAATTATAGGTAATTTGGTAAGCATATATGAATATGGACTCTACCGGTTTTTTAACCCTCAAATTAAAATATTTCCTAACTATATTCAACACATTTTTAGCAGTGGTCTCCCTTTTATTGTTACAGAAGGTTTAAGTTTAACATAGGGTACTTCAATTTTCAACTAATCATTTTAATCATTAATCAAAAGACAGCACTTTTAGTGTGCATCTTTTCTTTTTTCCACCGGTGTTGGGTCTTGGGGCATCAGTATCAGCAAGGATGTTTCCTTTTTTAAATTTCTTTTTAAAAGTTTAAGGGTAAGTTAAAGTTAAATATAAATATAATTTAATGGAAAATTTCATTTTAATATACTTCATATTAACCGTTTAGATCATCAGATTTAGTTTATGACGCGAGCAATTCTCAGTAAAGTTATCACATATATCAATCAGGTCTTGCAATTGGTCTATTTTCTCTAAGCCCAGAGTTGGGATTCCCCAAAGTAACGTCACTGCACAGAGATAGAGTGAGACAACTCTTGGGCAAAATTCATACTAAATACCATCAACCCGAAATGGCTCATTTTTTTAAAGATTAACATCATGTGGTCGTGGATTAAAATTATTGCAATCAAATATAAAATAGGGCCTAACTCACATGACAACTGTAAGTAAGTTGAACTAATAACTATCTCACCAGTCTACTAGTTTATAACTATAAAATGTAGTCTATAAATATAAACATACTTTTTGGTTTTCATTTGGCAGTCTTGATTAAGGCGCTAAAATTAAGAAAATACTTTTAAAGCCATTAAAGCTGTTAAAAAATTAATGCTAAGTACAAAATGGCAAGCTCTTTGCTAAACAAAAAAAAAAATATGACACACCCATTTTGGGCTTGGGGTTATCCTTAGCCTTATACTATATATATCTACCTATCTTATTTATTGACTTGTACTATACTAGACTAATCTAATACTTTTATACTTATACCTTTTAGTTAGTGTAGTTCAATTTTTGTGTAAACTGTACTAAACACTATCACTAAGTGATACTAAGTGACCTAAGTCTAAATCAAAGTAAAATTAATTAAAATTATAAATCTAAGCCGACTACATTCGACTACAAGAAATAATAGTAATAATTAATAGGGCATGGCATTCATAGATTAGATAATGATAGTTGTTAGGCATTGATAGGGGAGGGCAGAGGTAAAACTTACTTATGACTTCAGTCGGTCTTCAGAGAAACAATTAAAAAATTTATTAAAATTGACTTTGAGAACACATTAATTAGTTACCTTTCCTAGTGGTTGAACATCCGTCCGCTTTTGTTCGCACCATTTCTTAAAAATATACAGAGTTGTACAAATCACAAATTTGAAGCAGAATTAAGTTAACAGTGTAATCATATACTAGTGAATATTCATATCTCAAGAATAAAACCAATATCGCGAAATACCCGCGTACAGTCAGTACAGTTCGCGGAAATAATTAACCGGTAACCACAGTTTTATAGCAAAAATGATACCAATTTAAAAAATGACTTTTATTAACTCTGTCTCCCAATATCCGATCCTAAATGAATGGTAATTTCGAAAAAGTTAAAATAAAATGTAAGCATTTTGCATTCCTTGAATACTGCATTTTCTTAGGTGTCAAATTTTATACTATTTATTACACTCTTTAATATCGTATTCTATTTTTTTTAAAAAAGCCACTTGGGCCTACAAAAAAAGTGACCTCCATTACATACTATAATAATAAATTTAAAAAATATCTTGTGTGTTTTGATATGACTTATCAATTAATTACAATAGTCATAAACAATGTTAATTAATAAATATATATATTAACAAATACCCAGATTTAAAATTACTTAATAGATATAAAAATAAGATTTTATAAAATGGCATCGCCCGGTTAGCTCAGTCGGTAGAGCATCAGACTTTTAATCTGAGGGTCAAGGGTTCAAGTCCCTTATCGGGCGTTCCTTTTTAAATTAAGTTTTTTTAGTATTTCTTTAAATAATTTGAAACCACTATGGATATTTTACATCAGTTAGAACGAACAGTTCTTGAATTTATTTTTGGGTCATTAAATGATTACCTATAAGAAAAATGTAATAAAGTGGTTACAATAAATACTAATGCAATCAATAATTGATAACATTTTCTTTACTTAAAGATTAACTAAGTCATTGAGCCTATATTTCTCTAAAGTCAATAGAGAGAGGAAATCCAAATAACTTGAGAAGATTCTTTTCATTTGCACATGAGAAAAGTAATGGCTTGGGTATTTGAATTTACCCTTTTCACTTTTTGGGTATTTGAATTTACCCTTTCCACTTTTTCTAAAGGATTGAAAAAAAAAGAGGCCCATAATTATAAAAACAAAAACTGGTAAAAGGGTCTCCAACAAAGCAAGCTGCTATATAGTGACCACCAATTTAAACCACATATTTTTTGTAGGAGTCTTCCAACTTTAAATTTAGAAGTAATGTTAGAAACTTATTTCTTTGTTATATTTCCTTGCAGTTGGGGGTAAGGGAATCAAGACAGATGGCACATCCAATTCTGAACAGGAAGGCATTTATTTTTTTAATTCTACAAATCAGTGTTAAAACTCTGTAATTTCATTCTAAAGTAAATGACACTGAGCAGGATTTTAATGCCATAATGAGCTGAAACAAGGCCCTCACTGGTGGAAAGGAACAAGCCAACAAATTATAACAAGATAATGACGATACAATACTATTGTCCATCTTGATAAATTTTTGTGAACTAAAAAAGACAAACTTTAACACTGCCCCTACTGATGTATTTACTAAATATGCTAATCTATCTATATGAGAAATAAAATAAGCAACACAAAATCAAACTAAAACCAAACCAATTTATTGATATAAATTTGAGTCAGTAAGGTATCCTGGAAAAGCAGTACTGAAAATTATTTAGAAACAAACTTCTTTGCACATACAATACTTTTTCATCAATATAAATAGCATATTATTATATTTTGATGTCTTAAAATTGTCTTATTCATGTAAAACTAAAATCCCTCAGACAGACTTTACCCTCCTGCACAAATTGTTGGCTGTAGTTGAAATATGAGCACACATCATTCTCAAGTCCAAGTCAATGATCATCTTGCCTTTTCAGATCTTATTAAATCTTTTAGCAAATTTATCAATGGACTGCCTGTTGAAAATAATTGTTTAAAAAATTACATCAGCTTTATAATAATTTTGATTGTAATCTGTAAAAGATGGCCATTTAGAGATTTATGAAAACAATTTTTTTTTTTGTCTTGAGATATTTTTAATAAGTTTTCTTTAACATAATTACAAATTATTTAAAAGAATTGAAGAACAAAGAAAAATAAAATCCCATTTGCATCATCAATCATGAAAATCATTAATTAATCGATCACAGGTCACATAAAAACAATTTGGCAAAAAGACAATCGTTTGCTATAACCTTATTTAACAATTACCGAGCAATCATACACATCAATTATTTTCAAAAACATTTTTGTGCTCAGAAAATTTTTAAACAGCCAACAAAAATATTTTAATAATGCAAAAATGTTAATTTAAAATACCTGAGATATTAAGTGCTGGTTCCCTTAACTTCCTCTCCAATATCCTATTCAATAAAACTCTTATCTCTTTGAATATCACACCTGTTTTTGCAACTGCCTGCAGTAACAAGTAGAAAACTTATGAATTTGAAACAAATAGGCCAACAATGTAACATTTTTTTTTCACAAGTTTGAAATGTTTCTATCAAGAATTGTTTTATATTTTTAAAAAATAGTTAAAAGGCATGATCTCCCCTGTATCAGGTTTAGAGATTAGGTTTTAAAAAATAATAGTCAATATAGAAAATAAGTGCACATTATTTTGGATGTATATAAATATAAAAAAGGTTGATTTAAACATTCCATATAGCACTGAGACATTGATGCCAACCTGTACAGTTACTATAGTTTTATACATTTGCCGAGCTCTATGGCTGTACCAGTACACATTTTTATATGTTTTTAACGGAATTTAGAAATACATTTTTTTGCACAATGATACATTCAACACTGCCGGCGTTATATATTATAATCTTTTTGTATTTATTATTTTACTCCAGCTGGAAACTTCCAATAAAAACATCACATTAACATACCCCAGTAAGCAATACTAGCATAAATAACAGAAGAATTATGTATAATTTTATCTAAATTGCCATCAAATTCATCATCTGAGTCAATTTTTTTATATTTAAATAAAATTGCTATTGAACAGTGTTATAAACTGAAAATTTGACAAAAATCTGACTTAAAACAAGCTATTTTCATTTAAAAGATGCAATCTGTTCATTTATACATGATGTAAACATGCTAAAATGTGAGAGCGGGGAAGGGGAAATAATTTTTAAAATTAATACTTTATTTTTACTTTTTATTTTTTTCGAAATGGTTTTTTATACTGTTGTACAGTTTTTTGGGACTCTTTGTACAGCTTTTTGACCCCACAGTTTGGCATGTATCGCATACTATGCATAATTATTTGAAATTTAAGTTTTATATTTTGATAGCAACAAATTCTCTTTCTACCTTGTATTTAATCCAACCGTCCAAAAGGATCACTTTCTGTGTATGTTGTACATCAATTGCTCCTCCAAACAGGAGTAGAGCGTATGGGGAAACCACTGTTGTGTCTTTCAAATAAACACGTGACACCCTCACCTTGTCAAAGAACATTCAATAAAAGTGTAATCCGATTTGAACTGTGTGTGTGTGTCTTATTCTTCAATTTTTTAAGATAAATATTTATTTAAATCAAAAGGTCAGTGAACTAATGGCAATGACACATTACAAAAAAGGGACACTATCAGTATCACTACCTTTTCATGGTATACCATCCAACTTCCTGTCAAAGCCAGATTTTTGTTTACAGATGAGGGGTGAACTTGGGCAACACCCTGCGATGTTTCCACCATGCAGGTAGATTTGTCTGCAACATCCACAGACGGGGTTGTGATAATTTGTCCAACCTGGCACATAGGGTAAATAATATTAAAACAAATTTGAAAGCAACATTTTATTTCTTATAAGTTATACTTTTCTGTGAGCAAAAGTATCAGATCCAGACCTGGTTAACCTGGAACTCCCAAAATAGTACCATCTCATTTCATAGTAGTAACTTACATCTCAAAATCGTACAGTACTATATCACAATAATAAATAAATAAACATATATTATAATCTATACAATAGCTATTAGCATCGCATGTCTAAAATAGGTCAATTTGCAACTTTGATAGATGAAGATGGGGTGGGGAGGAGGGTATTGAAGATGCCCGCCGAAGTCAAATGAGTGAAGGTGGGGCTGGGGTTTTGTACAGATTCGAATTGCAGGGATGCACTTTTGAATATACCTCAATATTTTTTTGCATCATCCTACACTTAATCGTAAAGCTTGTGGAAAATTAGGTTGTTTATATAAATCCTTTTTTATTTAAGTAATTACTCAATAGTTAAACTGATTTTAAATTAAGATTGGAGATTACTCATTTCAATCATTTTTCAATCATTTAAAAATTTTAATATATAAAAAAAGGGGTAGGTACACCGAAAATTAGGTATCCTCTACCTAGCTGTGTTTACATAAATCCTTTTTTATTTTAGTAGTTACTCAATAGTTAAACTGTTTTATTATTTTAAATTAAGATTGGAGATTACTTATTTCAATCATTTTTTAAATTTAAATCTATCCAAAAAAAAAAGGGGCGGGTACACTGAAATATCAAGTACTGTCACAAAAAAAAGGATGCGTTTGTAATTCAAATGTGCATTTATGCCAAAAATGAAAATAATTGCTGATTGAATGAAGAAATAAGTTCATTTGTGATTCATCTAGTGGGCCATAAAATTTAATGTGCTTGGCCATGGGTTGGCCATCCCTGTCTTAAGTATATGAGCCTGATTTTATTTTCCATTATACAGTCTAATAACCACAACAAGCTGTACTTGGAGAATGGAAGAAGAATGTTTGAACCAAACTAGGGTATTGAAATTGTACAGCTGCTTTGTGAATTCTAAAAATAGATTTCAAATGCTGCTTGCTAGATCTTATACAGTATGTCAAATCTAAATGCTGCTGTGTGGAGTAGTTTAGAATGCAAAAATGATTTTTTTTTTTTACAGTTTTCTCCCTTTTCACAATCCTGGTTCAGTTGAAGAAGAAAATAATTACATCACAAACTTACATCATACAGCAACGAAGCAAACAAAAGTGAATTTTGACAAAATTTGTTGTTGGAGTGACTAAGCTAAATATTAATGTTGCTGTATCAGCAAGTTCTTTGTAAAAAAAACACACACAAAAAACCCCCCCAAAAAACAACAAAAAACCCACAAAGCAACAATATGATGTATATCCCCATCATTATGAATATCCTCTAAAAATATTTAGACACCGATCCCTTACCCCCTCCCATGCACACCCATAGGCTCCTTAGTCAATACCAACCTTAGCCCTCCCAACTCAGTGCTTGCATAATATAATTATGGATGGTCCCCAACCAATAATATTTCTCGGTCCATTCCCCACTGTGTAGAAAGGAGCTAAAACTAATACTAACACCTCAAAGAGGTTTTTTGAGTAATTTTTTAAAAAAATCATTAAACTACCAGAATGTATTTTTTCAACCCGATCTCTGAAAATGGTAGCTCTGCCATGTATCTGCATACAATCATAATGAAGCATACCAAATTTTTACAATTTACACCAAAATCATAAGAGTAACCAAGTCTGCAGATCCATCTGGTTGAAAATAACACAAATACAATTATGGGAAACATGATTAATTTTAAACTAGCTGAACTACCCTTCCTGCAACCTACCCCCATTAAAAACTAAAATTAAAAAAAAAAAACATTAAAAAAAAAAACAATGATCAAAATTAGATAAAAAAGTAAAAATTGATTATTACCAGCTATTAATTAGTAATTTTACTTATGAGCTGCAAATTTGATTGGAGTTCAATAAAATAATTTCATCCGCTTGTTTTTTTTAATAAGGCACAATATGATAGGTAAGAGTTACAATTTCACCTGTGGGTAAAGCCCGGCTGTCAAAACTGACTTAATTAAGGCTATAGATACTGGGTCAAGGTCATCAACTTTAGTAAGGGAGTCAGAGATGCTCAGAACACCATCAGGGGACACCACAGGCTGTGCTTTGAAGCTACTGGTTGAAGGGGAAGAAGATCTGGGATTAAAGCCTATACTTGATACAAGCTTGACAAGATCCTTCTTGACATTCTGTTCAATGGCAAGAATCAATGTTGAGACAGATGGGCGGTGAAACAATCAGACACAGAAAAATTTATCAATCTGCTGTTCAAATCTTAGTTTTTAAAAATGTGTTAAATTATCTGGTGTTTCCGGCCAAGAGAGAAAAAACAGGAAAACTTTTTGCTATGGAATCTTAATGACGCCCCAAAAAAAAGTTATCATGCAACATTACAAATTAAAAACAAAAACATTTAACATAGTGCATAAAAAATATTTTACCAACTCAATTTTTCTATTCATCTAACTATGTAAAGGTAGTCTTTTATACAATAGGTAAATTAGCCATGCAAATTAAAATCCAGTTAGGACTCAAAATTAATTAGGCAAAAATAAATTTTAACAGAGGAACAAAGGGTTTTTTCTCTTCAAAACATAATCACTTAAAATGATTAAAAAAAAAAAGTACAAGGATTACAAACCTCAATATCAAGTAAAGTAGATCTTTTGAGGAAATTTTTGTTAATGTATGCATTCTCAGCAGATCGACTTTCTTGTCTAGCCTTGCACCAACTTGACATTAAAAAAAATAAAAATAATTAAAACTTAAAAAAAAAGGCACATGAAAAGTTTAAAAACTGTATGGATGAACGAAAATGAGCAGATAAAGTATATCTGTTCATAATTTTAGCGTGAAAAAGTTTACTTAATTAAGACAATAAATAAATTTAGATGAAAAGATTTTTTTGCATTTTGAAGTCAGATATAATTGTAAGGCTAACTTGTTTAAATATTAAATGAATGATTACTATAGGGGAAAAAATTCTAATTCCACCATCAGCTTTTTATACACAAATTTATGCAACCATGGGACAAATGGTTAGGCTTACTTGTGGAAAGGAAAAATTTATGGCAGCTCTACCAGATCTCACTTTATGAACAGAGAATGTTGCATCAGTTTTAAATGGATAAGGACAGCACGGTGCCTATCTTTTTCTAACTAAAATATTGAAATGTGGATTTGATCAAGTTTACCCCTGATATGCCTTGTAGAATGTTATGTGATCTGAGTTGGTTACTGCCATTGCCTGCTTGGCCGAGTCGGCCTCTGATCTCTTACTGAGGGGCACAACAAATGGTGACTTGTCTGTCATGACTGCCGCTATAACTGCCTGAGTTTATTCAAAGAAAAGTTCAGAATGGCAGCATAAGTGTTAATGTTCAAGAAGAAAACATTTTTTTTTAGTTTCTTAAAATGATGATGGATGTTGTGAATAAATATAAACTGTGAATTAAAAAAGATGAAAGTGTAAATAACTTTTATCAATTAAAATTTGCTGCATCCTTTTCTGTTATCAAAATATGATAATTGTTTGTCTGAAATGAAACAATAAAACACAAAACTTACTACTGGCTCCAGGCATCCAAAAATTGCTCCTAATAATAACATTTTTCCTATTCGGACATCAACTGGCAGAGCTGCCAAGTGGTGACCTAAAGGGGTCAGGGAGCTTTCATCCGATTCGCAAGCTCCAACCTCTCTCAGTAAGCTCATTGCTCTGGATACAGCAGTAGGCTGAGGTGGATCAAGGGCACCACATAAGAACTCGTACGGTTTTCCGTAACAACATTTCTGTATAACAATGAAATGAGACTAAATTTGTGCAAATATTAAATGTAATGGCAAGTTTTAAAAATTTAAACAAAAAGTTTAAAAAAAATTAACATGGCCAATTTTTTGAATGGCAAATAGTAATTAACCCTAACCAGATGGAGAAACTTAGAACAAAATTAAAGAGTTAATAAAAGACAGACATTGACAAAGAAATGTATCAAATAAAAGTAACATTTATAATATAACAAATTATGTTTTTTAAGAACTGTTTTAAAATTATAAAAAATACGGGCTCAAGAAACATGGGTTAAGCCTGATTACTTGTACAGAAATATCTTCAAAGTGATTTCTAGAAAGTCATAAGTACCATGATATTTAGACACAGCTCCTCTAAAGGGACTCTTAGTAGTTCAGGTGTTGAGTAAGCCTTGAAGTCTTTATACTGGGCTTGGGTATAAAGTCTGAAGCAGAGACCCTCCCTTACTCTACCAGCCCGGCCAGCTCGTTGCTTACAGTTGGCCTTGCTGATGAACACTTCTTCTAAGGCACTCATTTGGCTGGTTTCCATGTATCTGATTAAAATATAGACATGTCATCTAAGTGCTTCGCAAGTGGCCGTGCCTTTATTTTAATATCACTTCAGGTTTTGAAGAGAAAGTATTAGATAATAAGGTGTTAAGGAAAATATACAAGTGTTCATATTTGTGCATCATTTCTTTTAGTTATAAACTAATGACTTTAAAAAAGAATACCTGTGCTAAAGAACGGGTAAAAACCACATCAATAGAAAAATAATACTCATCGCAATCATCCTAAAACTGATGACAAAATGTTAACACTAACACATATGGGCTCTTGGGTGTTTTAAAAACTGTAAATGTCCTGTCATAACTTTGAAAGATACTTGTTAGGTTATAGATTACCCCAGGTCTGTCGACTTGTATACCCACCGATTCTCTTTAGCTTTCCCACTATCTATAACATAAACAACATCAGGTATTGTGATTCCTGTTTCAGCAATGTTGGTTGCCAGGACAACCTTCCTAATCCCTTGGGGTGGCACAGCAAACACTTTGGACTGATCTTGTGATGACAAAACGGAATGTAGTGCATAAATTTGATACCTGAAATTTAAAAAATAAGTATAATTCCACAAATTCCAAAGTAAAATCTTACAGTAAATTACTTAGCAATTGGTTGATGGCAAATCTATATTGTCCAGTAATGCTGGTAAATAATGAAAATCCATTAATGTCATTAATGTTTATATTTAATTTCAAAGTATACTTTGTATGAAAATTAGGACATGGTTCAGGTTTAGTTAGCACGTTGGATTTTGTATTAAATTTTAAAATATTATTTTGTTCAATTTTTGTAATGTTTAGTCAATGGCAAATTATCAGCCATGTAGACTAAATATAAAACATGTCTGTGAAGTGTTCATTAGGGCCACTTTAAACTTCTTAATTTCCATGTAGAAATATGCAGAACCAGGGGGGTAATTGGTGGTGACCTGAAATACAATTGTGGACTTGGTTTCGATGATCAGAATAAACCTGATTGACCTACTTTGACGGGTTACTGAACTGCCTCTGTGTGGTCAGATTGTCATAGAGTTCTTGTATATCAGCCAGTCCAGGCAGGAAGATGAGGACAGCACCTGGTGTCTCTTTAAACAGAGGGGATGACTCCAGAGTCTTTAACAACTCCTAGAATAAAAATACATGTCACTCTTGTTTATCTAGCTAAAAGAGGAGACCTCAAAAAAATGTGCCTCACCCACATGTTACTTGGAACCAAGTAAACGACTTTTGACCTATATTTAATGGGTTAAATAAGAACAGAAATCTTAATTCCACTGTGTCAAGAGTATGAGAATCACTGTTGTAATGTGTAGGTTACTGTTGATATGTTTGGTATGGAAAAGATGTTTAGTGTAGAGATTATGTGTGTGGCTGTGTCTATTGTGTGAAGTATTTGTGACGCATTTGGGTAGTTTGGTTGTTGTTTTATTGATATAGATGACAATCATACGATATTGACTGTTTAACTTGTGTGTTGCTCAGCGTTTGGCTGGAACGACTTGATTATTATTCATAAATTATTTAAAAGCAATGGTTAAGGAATTGTTGGTGAATATACTTATATTGTGCAACAAACCGGTCAGTGTTTGGTGTATTGGTATCAGTTGCTATCAGTTACACTGGCCCATGGGATGAAGAGGGAGACATAGCCCAAACAAGTGGACATCTATCATCATGGGTAGATGAGCACAAGAAAGCAAGTTCTACATCTCGTCACACTGAGTAAGTGTGTACAGATAAATGTATATTTTAGTTACTCTAAAATTATTTTATAACTCACCACAATTAAATCTATATTGATTCTGTGCAAATTCAGGCGTGAAACTGCATTTCTTGTGCGCAGAGAATATTTTTCAGCAGCAAGGTTTGTCTATGAAATAAACAAATGAGGAGTTTATCACACTACAATCTATACAAAGTCTTTCTTTAAAAAAAAGAACAAATTACAAAGATAAAAAGTGCTATTATAAAATGTTTTCCACTGGATCCCAACTACATTTTGTAAGTATTTTATCATATCACTATTTAAAAAAAAAAAAATGTTTAGTTTTTAGTCTGAAAAATAAGGCTATAATTATAATTCATTGGTTTTCAACATGTGTCCAAAACAAACTTTTGAGTATTTTAACACAATAATCATATCCATGGAACAAGCCACTTGGCTAGTGTGGAGAGTATTGTATGAGTGCAGCAGCACCAAGTCCCACAATGGGATTTTGCAATTAAAAGTAAATTTAATTATAGAAATCGTTTTATTATGAAAGTTGGTCATTGGCTTAAATTTTTTTGTTGTAAAAAATCATTATATGCCTAAGTAGTCAGCTGTTGGACACATAATTAGTAATCTACGTCATGAAAATGGTAAAAAAGCTCTTTATACCATAGATGTGCTGAAATTGACCACCAAAATAAAGATACCTCTTACCCTATCAATCTTACTGATGTCTTCTTGAGTCCAGGTCACATTCTGTTTGGATTTATCTCCTCCTTTCTGAGTTATCTCCACTGATGCTGATGCTTCCTGGCAATAACAAACAATATTTGTTTAACAAATGTTCACTCTCTTGCCGCTCTTATCAGGGCTTTGTCTTACTATCTGACTTAAGAGCTAACATTCTCAGCAAGTTTTCTACAGACATTTTTTTTTTACAACATTGAAACAAGTTGCTGCACAAATGCATTAAAAATTAAGAACTATCAAGGGATCATCAATGTCTGCTTGTGTTGCGTTTTTAACACAAATTGTAAAGGTCACATAAAATAAGCTGGTGCTTTAAATTTTTTTAAATTATATGTGGACTAAAATCAGCCAAAAGGTGAAATCTTATGGAATACCTGAACCAGGTGTCTTGAACTGATGGCATAAGGTGAGTCTTCATCAACAACATAGCCAGTCATCTCAATCACATCTTCCAGGTAAAAAATCTAAAATATTATTTTCAACCTGTTTAACATACCTGATGCAGTAGTATCTAGCTTAATTCTTTACTGTTCTTTTTTCAAACAGAGACCTCATTAGCTTCACATGTATAACATAAAAAACATTCATTATGTCATCTAAAAAATACGTTTATAATCTTTGCTTGCTCTTCTGAAAAAAAAAAATACAGCAACACTTAAATTTTCCAAATGCTAATTATCTACCCCAATTGTCCTGACTGCCCCTGTCTTAAAAAAAAAATATTAACACATGCAATTCGTGTTGGCGTACAATATCCATAAGGGATCTGAGGCCTGTTGTACAATTCAGGTAAAAATGTAGATATATACTTTACATGCAGACTGAGATAATGAGATCAGCAAACTTGTTCAATAACAAATATGGCAGAATGCATTGAGTCCACAAACAAAGTGAACTCAGATTTTACTCTAAGCTCATGTCATCTAATTTTTGCTAAGGACCTCTTTTGACTACCAAAAACCTTTCAGTCCTGATCAGATTCTGATGTCAATCAGCTGACCCGATATGCCCTTGATGATTACTGTACATAAGACTATGTACAATAAAGCACCATATGTGTATACGGTAAATTATAATGTATTTTAAGCACTAATGTCTTGAACACAACTTTTCTGTGGGAGTGTTCGGTTATCTGAAAAAAAAAAATTTCATTCAAAACAAACAGTCCCAATTAGTTTGGACAACTAACATTCGACTGAAATTGGTGCATTAGAAAATCATTAAAAAAAATGCTTTGTGATGAAGGCAGAATTAAAACAATTTATATTTTATTTATTCCTACCTCCACTGGAAATGTCCGTCCAGGTATGTTGATGACGGGACAGTGGTTAAAGTAGGATGAGAATTTGGCACTGTCCAGTGTGGCACTCATTAAAATGACTTTGAGGTCAGGCCTACGTCTTAAAATATCTTTCACAACAATCATTAGAAAGTCTGACTGCATGCTCCGTTCATGCACCTTTTAGAAGCAAAACATTATATTACAGATAGCCGGGAAAATGGACAAACTTTGATGAGTAACAAGTTAAATGTTTTTTAAAAAAAATAATTGACTTACTTAATAAAAAAAAATTAAAAATAGAAGCCTTAAAATAGGTTTTAAGGGGTATTTTAAAACAGCCAAATTTCCTGCCTCATCTATAATTAGGTGTGTGATGTCCTTCAAATCTGTGGCCGTCTGCAGTTGTCTCAGCACGACACCAGTGGTGCAGTACACAAGCCTAGTGTTAGGGCCTCGCCGTGATTCAAATCTGATCTGGTACCCAACAAGAGCTTCCCTGGGGCTGAAGCCGGACTCCCCCATCTCCTGAGACACACGCATGGCCAAGCTGGTGGCAGAGATTCTCCTGGGCTGTGTGCATACAACTTGGACATCCTCCTGGCCACTTGCAATACAGTCCTCATAAGAAAAATAGAAATCACAATGCTGAACACCGCAAATTTTTAAATAATTATTTTAAATACAACATTTCTCAGCTAAAAATCCCATTACAAGGTCTAGTGACCAATGCATAAAGGGATCAGTGTGGAGGCTCTTTAGGTAATACAATTTTTGCCCTAACTAGTGGTGAAACTATTGTGGTGGTAAGGGTGCACCTGCCCCAGGTGGCCTTTTGTGGTTTATATATAGACCTAACATTATTTATTGATGTGAGTGTTGGGGGGGGGGGACTTTTGGGAGTTAGTCTCGGGCACAACTGACCACATCAATAGAGTCTAGGGCACAACTGACCACATCAGTAGAGTCTCGGACACAACTGACCACATCAGTAGAGTCTCGGACACAACTGACCACATCAGTAGAGTCTCAGACACAACTGACCACATCAGTAGAGTCTCGGGCACAACTGACCACATCAGTAGAGTCTCGGGCACAACTGACCAGATCAGTAGATTTTTACTTCATTCACTCCTGCTGTCATCAAACAACCTTGTGTTTATTTGTTTCTTTTCTTCCCCCATTATTGTAACTTATAATGTCTGGAGATGCCCAAGATGTCCACGAGTATCTACATTATGTCAATACAAGTATGCTACCTTAAAGATCAAATGGAGGCCCCACCCCCCCTCCTTCTATTAAAATAAAACAATTAACTGATCCCGCCATGGGGCCACTGAAAGCCGCAGGGCCCCTAAGCACATGCCTCATTTGCCTTTAGGTTTATCCAGCACTGCTAGTTACACCTGAATGGAAATGCTGTGGTTTCTGAGATTTGCAAACACATCCATAAGAGTTACTGATACCAATGACAGTTTAAAAGTGTTAAACATAATGTTCCCTGTAACAGACACCAACCAGTAGTTAACACCAGAAACATTTAACAAGAACTTGGAAATTCATACTTGGTTAAGTGTGACATAAATTTATACCTGGTTAAGGGTGACATAATATACATTTATACCTTGCTAAATGTGACATAAAAGTAAATTTATACCTGGTTAAGTGTGATAAAATATAAATTTATTCCTGCTTAATTTTGCCATAAAATTTAAACTTATAAAAAGCAAAAGGAAGAGGTCCTAACAATAACGTTGACAAAATAAAAGAGGAAGAACAACATGTAATTTTCTTTAAAAAAAAACAACACTCTGTCAACAGATAATTGCACAGCGTTTGATAGACTGACCTCAAGCACAAACTGGGGGACCTGCGTGCTCTTGCCGCTCCCTGTTTCACCAGCTATCACCACCACGGCATTGGCTTGAATGGCAGAAGTTACCTGAGTCGTTCAGAATATGAGCCAAAGGAGGGGTGATTTTATAAAGAGGTTACACAGTTTCACGCAGCGACAACAAGGCGTCCTTTATTTAAACTTAAAGTTTTGTTTAAAATATTAAATGACGCATTGCTTGAAAATAAGAGCGACAACCAAGAAAGTTTACAAATGTTCTATGCATTTCCATGTTTAAAAACACATATGAACAAATAAAACAACAAAAGTGGTAGAAGAAAACTAGCATCCGCATAAAATTTAGGGCAGTACAAAAAAAATTAAGAGAAATTATTACATCACCCCCCCCCCCCCCCTATATTTTTAATTTTAATTTTTTTCCTCCTTTTAAAATTATTTTTTGTTCTGTCTTGCAAAAAAAAAAAAAAAAAAAATCAATAACTGATTACAGTCCACCCAACCAAATACCAAATGCTTCAAGTTACCTGCTGCCTGTACTGGTACACTGGAAGTTGCTGTCTCAGTAAAAGAAGTTCTTGAAACTCTGAAGAAGCTTGTCTATTTAATAGAGCTTGATGAAGTTGTGATGATTTGTACGATTTTTCTGCTTTCTTTTCAACCTTAGACGCCACTGGTTTACTGGGGGAAATCTCATTCAGCTTGCCCTGCATAAATTATTTTGTGATTTAAGGTAATTGTGTGAAAATTAACCCAAAATTTCAGTGATGATTTCAGACAACACAAAACCAAACAAAACCCCCTCAAATATTAAATACTGGAAAAAAAAATATATATGCATCCCTTTTTATTCTCACTGCACATTTTCCTAAAGAAAATCAAACTATTTTGTTTTTGTAGTGTAAAAAATTGTACAAAACATTGTCATTTTGTTGGGACTTCTTCATTTGTTTGTGCAACAGCTTGAGTAATGGCAGTAAAATATACTTGAACAAAAATGTCCACATACTTTGTCTGCCAAACTTTCCCAGTCATCTTCCCCATCCTCTCCACCAGCCTCAGGATCTTGAGTTGCCGTTTCTGTTTTAGTGGCTACATCCTCAACATTTAGTTTCTTCAGCAACTTTGATATAAATTGATCTCTTGGCTGCAACATGAAGAGAAAAGGAAATTGCAAATTTGTCACTACCTATTGGCCTAATATGAATGTCTTGCTTCCCCAATCTTTACAAAGGTTGGAGGTATCATAGTTAGCTTTCAATGCAACAGAAATAACTGAAGACTGTTACCTTATTTTCTTTCTCTTTTGCCTCGTCTTTTTCTTTCTTCTCTTCATCTAACCAATCCAGCCACACATTTCTATATGGGGGTGGGAGAAGCTGGTGCACAGGCTGAACGAAGAATTTATTGTGATGAAAATATTGGAACATTAAAAATAATATGTCATCTAATTCAACAGCTACAAAATGGTAGGTTCACATCAACTGCATTAAAATTAACAGATTATTTGTATTTAAACTTTTAATACAAACACTAATTTCTGCAACTTGTTCATGGCACATTTTAAAAATAAATTTGTACGAAAAAATAACTTTCAATAAAAGTTTATACAAAAATAAATTTTAAAAGCAGTTCAATCATTTAAACATCGTTATTTAATGTGCAGAAATAGACAATTGTAAACTAATTTAAATAGCTGAATGAACTAAGAGGTTGTTCGCAAATTACGTCATGCTTGGGAGGAGGGGGTCAAGAATTTGAGACACTATATGACAGGGGGAAGGGGGTGGGTCAAAACTTTGTGACTTAATATTTTTTGTTTAATATCTAAAATTTTCTAATTTTGAAAAATCTTTATTCAATTAATTTTAAAAACATTAACCTAAGGTCAAAATTGCCTCAGGTATTTTAGGTACCATGAAAATCAGTCGTGCAAACCTTCTGTGCATATAGAAAAACGACGCAAAAATTGTTGTGGCCATGTTACATTCAGCTTCAGGATGACTTCGTTGTTTCGTGTCACAGTTTTCTAATACTACATCTTAATCCATTATGGGGAAATGTTGAAGAATAAAATAAAATCTTAATTTAGTTATGAAAATTTTATGTATGTTTTAATTTTTTTAGGTGGTGTGACGTGACACTGTGGGTAAAGAATTTGTGACACTTTGTGAAATGGCGGGTCTAATAAGGTCACTTTTTGTGTGTCGTAATTTACGAGCAACCCCTAATAGTTCACCTGTCCTCTGCATAACTGGTACAAAGCCAAAGTGGCGGCCAGATGTTCAGCATCTTTGACATTTTCACACAATATGGTAGGTGTCACAGCAAGTTGTCCATCTTTCTGTCTATCTATCACAGCTCTGTAAAGTTTGATCACTTGAAACTTACTTATGACAAACTATCACACATAAAAATATATTTAAAAAAAAATTATGTTTTAAGTGATTAATCAAATTAACGATCATGCCAATATAATGATAAAAAATAGTAACAATGTAAATTAAATTTTACACATTCAGGAGGTGAAATCTTCATTTTCAATGATAGAGGTACTTAAAGCAACTTAGCATAAAGCTGACAGTTGAAATTCTACAACCTAAAGTGTTGTAGCTAGTGCACAATTTTAAAGGTCACGATAGGTTAAAACTATAAAACTTACGTGCTCTTGAATCTATTAACCTTAACTTGGATTTTCTGAAACTTAGGTGGTCCACTCTTGGGCAAATGTTTTCGGACCCAGTCAATGAGGAACTGCTTTGGAGACTTCCCTGTCCACTGAGACCGGGTATATTCAAATGAGCGTACATCCTCTTTAGACTTTTCAACCACTACTGAAGAAAAGGGTTAGCAAAAAAAAAAATGTAATGTCTGCATTCACCAGTCAGTTTATTCAAAACCTCAAAGATTAAAAAACAAATACAAGTAATTTAGAATAATATTATTGGTATGAAGGCTTTAAAACAGTTTCTGGGGGGGGGGGGGGGCCCTAATAAAACTTGACAACTATTCTTACACACAATTGTAGTCAAGAGTTCTCAAACCCTTATTATTGTATCACCTTTAACAGCCTAACATGATCGGTGGCATCCTACATAGATAACAGGCCCCCCTTTCCCCACCCAGTTAAGTTTATTTGGGAAGTATTACATTTTCAAACAATATATATACAATAAATGTAACAATTTTATAATAAGATCCTGCTACCTGATGGTTTTGTGCCAGTGGTGTTCTCAGCCTGTGAAAACAAAGATAAACCCAATTCTTCATCATCTTGCGAGCTCTGTTTACTGCCTTCAGGTGCGACCATGGGTGACTGCTTTTTGGGCATCGTTGCTGTTGATGCAGAGGCTGACTTAAGCTGGGATTTGATCGATTTGTCAAAGTCTGGGTGTTTCTCTAATGAAGACATTTCTGTGAAATAAAATAATCACCACATGGAATGTTATTAACTCTCTCTAACTAGTTTTTCAACAGTGTCAAGTTGATAAAAAATAACATAGTTATGAAATCATGCTAGAAATATATCCAGCTTCATGTTTAAATTTTAGCTTCTCAAAAAATTATTTCTAAAATATGATTACACTTTTATAAAATATAATTACACTGTATATACCAGACTCAACATTTGCAGATGAAATGGCAAATATATACTAACTAAATCTTATGTCTCACTTAAATGTTTGCCATAACTAAACCTTATGTCTCACCTAAATGTTTTGACCTAACTAAATCTTATGTCTCACCTAAATGTTTTGTCCTAACTAAATCTTATGTCTCACCTAAATGTTTTGTCCTAACTAAACCTTATGTCTCACCAAAATGTTTTGTCCTAACTAAATCTTATGTCTCACCTAAATGTTTTGTCCTAACTAAATCTTATCAGACCTGTTTACCCTCAAACTCTTAAAATCGTACAATATCATCACAAAGTCATTTAATACGTTATATTCATAGTAAAAAAAACATACAGTATATACAATCTATACACCTCAAAATCGTACATTGTACGCCAAAATCGTAAGAGTAAACAGGTCTGTCTTATGTCTCACCTAAATGTTTTGTCCTAACTAAATCTTATGTCTCACCTAAATGTTTTGACCTAACTAAATCTTATGTCTCACCTAAATGTTTTGTCCTAACTAAATCTTATGTCTCACCTAAATGTTTTGTCCTAACTAAATCTTATGTCTCACCTAAATGTTTTGTCCTAACTAAACCTTATGTCTCACCTAAATGTTTTGTCCTAACTAAATCTTATGTCTCACCTAAATGTTTTGTCCTAACTAAACCTTATGTCTCACCTAAATGTTTTTCCTTCAGCAACTTAGAAAGCTGCTTGTGTTCCTCTGTGTTGTTATTGCTCTTGGCTATAGCAGCCTTGTCCTTTAAATCCTGGAGCTCTGCATGCAACACAGCGTAACGAGAAGTCTGCCAATCAGAGATACAGTAGGCTTGTTATCATTTATTGAAGCTTTTTACTAACAAATCAATCAGAGATACAGTAGGCTTGTTATCATTTATTGAAGCTTTTTACTAAGTATTTGTAGCACACCGCGAATGGAAAACAAAATTGACATTAATAGTAATTTTTGTATAAATTTGCATCTCTTCACCCACCCCCCCCCCCGAAAAAAAAACTTGCTAAAAACTAATTTTGGACAGAATAAGTATATAGCAAACAAATGATTTGGAGATGAGATTTTAAAAAAAATGGATTAAGGAAGAAGGATAAGCTTTTCAATGGCTTAAATCAATCACTAAAAATATAAATTAAAGGGTTGTATACAAGCCTAGTAAATGAATGAAATAGCAAAACGAGGTATGTGGAAGATTAAATTAGAGAACAAGACAAAAAGATAAGGACGTTTCGGCATAAAGCCTTCTTCGGTTAACAGTAGAAATGAAAATATCACAAAGAACAGAGCACAGAAAACAACTCAAGACATATCCATTGGTGTCGCAAGAAGTGGGAACGCAGGTAGCGAGAGAATATAAATATTGACACTGTGAAAAATGAGGTCCATAATAATAATGGACCAGAATATCCAGGGATACATAAACACACAGCAATAAGAAAATAGATGAAATATAGGGAAACAGAGAAACATCACAAGGATATTATTTGATCAATGCCATATGGAGATATGGTGCCAAACAGCTGAATAAATTTATTTTCCATTTTAACCCTCTCTGGTGTGTTACTGCATGAAATCAGTGCCGTAATGGTTACATCCAATGCACCTTTATGTTCTTTTCTGTTGAAACGAGAAGAGACTGGGGAAGGTTTACATTGCTCAATATCCCGCAGATGTTCACTAAACCTATCAGCCAATCTTCTCTCAGTTTCACCTATGTAACTAGATTGGCATCTACGGCACACAATCGCATATATTACATTACGGCTGACACAGGTGAAACCCTCTTTAATGGTAAAGGTACCTTTAGGGAGGCTAATGCATTCAGTTTGGAGTGTAAAGGGACAAGTCCTACAGCGGTTTCTTAAGCATGGTTAGTTACCAACATAAGACAGTTCAGATCGAAGGCGACTATAAACCAGAATGTCACCTAGATTTCTGTCCCGTCTAAAGGCAATCAGTGGAGGGGATGAGAACACCCTGTTGGTATCGGGGTCAGCAAGAAGTATGCTATGATTTTTAGGAATATTTTTTTGGCAGTTAAATCAATCAGTGTGACAACTTTGTGGTGTGCAAAAATGCCTTGTTTAAACGATGATCTTGGAGCTACAATGGTTAAATCCCATGACTTACAGGATCAAAACATGATTCATTTTCCTCTTCTTCTTCTTCATTTTCACTAGAGCTCTGTTCAGCATAGTTTAGTATCCAGTCTTTGACCGCTGGTTTTTCTTTTTTGTTTTGTACAGCCAAAGCCTTGGGAGATGAAATTTAAGAAAATAATTTTTAAAAAAAATAATTAAAAACAAAAAAAGCAAAAGACCATTGCTATGAAATTAATTACTTTTAATGGAAAAAAGACAAACGGGCTAATAAAATTTACTATCTATGTTTTAATTCATAAGCTAAGACAGCAAAATACTTCAAACAATAGAACTAAAAAAAAAAATGTACTAACTGTAATTTAATTTGGGCAAAAACTGTTGTTTGGGATGTGAATCTAGATTCTTGAACTTGGCATTGTATTGAGTGAGTGGCATATAAATGTACTTCCCTCTGATTTTAGATGGACTGTAAATTTTGGTAAATGTTTTTTAGTTTAATGTAATAAGGTGTTGGGAATCAGAGCTTGCCTATCCTAATTAACTGGTTAACTACCGTGAGCCACTGGGAGCGGCTCGCATTTCTTTCCTTATGGCCATGAGCCGCTGGTAGCGCCAATGTTTGTATTGTAGTAAATCGAGTCAAATATTTATATTATTCCGTTCCCGTTTCACTTCGAGATTTTAATTTACTGACCGGAAGTTTATATTCAAAACGCATGCTATCGGCAAAATGTTTAAAAAGACGAAATGTTAATAATTTTTTATTTTATTCCTAGCTAGTTAAAAAATAGTACATGTTTACAGCGGCAACAAGTGACAGGGTTACTAAAAGCATATAAGTGATTTAAAGTGTAAATATTTTTCAATTTCTGTGTTCTTTGGTGCCTTTTTCTTATTATTGAATATACCATTTTGAAACAATCAAATAAAAGACTTTAAATGATTTGGAAATTTTAAATTTATATGGAAGTTCGCACATCAATATATTTTTATTGTTTTTCTATTGAAAATACTAATTTAACAATTAATAATTTCCTAACAAAACTTAACTTTACAAATGTTTTAAGTTTATATTATAGAAAACTCAATTACCTACAAAATGGTTCATTAATCATTGGAATATGTTTATAATTAAGAAAACTGCAGCTGAAATTGTACATACATCTAAAATGACAAAAAACATGACCTAGATTTAATTTGGCCACAGTGGGCTTTTTAATCAGTTAAGAAATGGGGATATGACGTTGCAGTTTCCACATTAACCCATAGTAATCAATTATCACTGTCATTTAATTCTTCTCTTGGGTAAAGAGTGCTGGAGACATTCTTAAATGGATGAAACATTAATTTTATAGTGTTTTAACCTATATATATATCAGAATAAATAGATCACAATGAATTTGCCTTTAAAAAACAAGTCAATAAAAGCCTCACAAATTACCTTTGGAGTTTCTTGTCTAGTTATTTCTTCAGATGAAGGACCACACTTAGCTTCAACTTGCAATGACCTATCAAATTTTGGTCTGTGTTTTTCTTCCTCTTTTTGGAGAGTTTCTGAGAAACTTGCTGGAAGCTGATCTGTTTGAAATGAACTTGAACTATTGAGTGATGTTCTTTTATAACTTTTAAACAGTCAGTAAAAAAAAAATTGAAAGTTTGGAGTACACATACAAAAAACACTCATTGCATCTGTTGTACCAACTACCTGGTCGACCGGTTTAATATGTCAAAAATTATAGTGCCTGCATGCAGGTCTTCACACAGAGTAATAGGGGTGTCTTAACAAGAGATGAAGAAAATTAAGCTATATAGATAGAGGAGCTAAGCTTTACATTAGAAGTTAAAATTGAAACTATCACAAGTGGTGAATGCTCCTTGAGCTGCAAAGAGATAGATAGCACAGAGAGCTAATGGAATTATTATTTTTTTTTAATTTTGGATGTACCATTCTGTGTGTTGAGGCAAAGCCAGTCCAAAGCATCTATAAGATCACCACCAAACATAATTGAAGAGGACATAGCAGCCTCAATCTGGTTCTTTGAGAATCCAGCATCGTTAAGACTGTTGTAAACATCCTAAAATTAATGCAAGTAAAATATCAGGTAGACATTTTCAGTGCACAAAATATTTTAATGTCTAAAATTTAGACAACAAAATATACATTATTTAGACAAGTATAAAATAATCATTCTCACAAGGTTTGGACCTAAAAATCATTCAAATATATTTCACTCACTGTCAACTTTTTATAGGTAATCCTTTTAGAAATGTCACCCAGAGTTTTCACTGATTTCTGTTCTTCAAGAATTAGATCAATTAAAGCATTCTCTAGCTTTTCTGGGAGATTTACCTGGAAATAAATATTTTATAAAATTAAGTATAAAAATATTTTGTAAAACATAATTCAGATAAAGAATATTAGTAGTATTCACTAGTCCAGTAGAAGCTAAAATGTTTTAATTTATAATTTATTTATTTACTTCTTTGACATTTTGAACCAAATTTTTTGTCATGGCTCTTATAAATGCATGATGTAGTCTCTGTAACAGTTGATTTGAGTTTGTCATCTGATTAATAATCATATTCCTTCAAAATATGGTTGCACTGACATTTTGACTGTAAAAGAGACATTTTACAAAGACAATTGTAGCTTTTCCAGTGATAATCTTTAAAATTTATTTGAGAAACGGCAGAAAGAAAACAAAAATAAAGATAAAAATATCCTGTGCAGTTTATAAGATATTATCAATAATAGTCATATTACTTTCTGTAAATCAGCTGCATTTTCAGCTTCTGCAAAATTTTTACTCTGGGCTTGAAGTGAATATGTTTTCTTTCCTGCAATGAAGAAAGCATAGCTCACAATTTATATAACTTCAAGATGTAACACTTAATCAAATTGTGTTCATTCCTTTACAAGGCAGGGTTATCCAATCTTAAAGATTTTTCCACACTGATTAGTGAGTTAGTATGATAATTTAATACTTTTCAGATTTAACATAAATGAAATCGGAGACAGTTCTACTTTAAGTTACATTTAAATAAAATCTATTTTTAAAATTTATTTTAGCAAAAATATGAACAAAATGGTTAAATGACTGCACACTATTCAAATAAAAAAAAATATTGAGGCACAGACTATATATATTTCTATTTAGGGTTAACATGCGTCCGGGTTTCCCACACATCTTCTTTTTAGGCCACTTTCCGGGCGGCTTTCCAGAAATATGGCTTTTGTCTGTGTTTTTTTACTGGATTTAAAGGTGAAAGTCGAAATGCCGAAGCATGTTACGAGTATTCTCATAAAAACTAATTCTTCTAAAATAACCAAATTTTTTGTAACACAGTGTTCAAAAAGTGATGATTCTGTTTTAACAGCTGAAGACATATTGGTGTTTCACACTGTCAAGCACCATCACAGCTATAAACCAATGGACTTTAGTTGTTATTAAAAATAATTTTACCTGACTCTGATATTGCACATAAAAATCAGTCATAGTTATGTAATGTGGAATGAACACTCACTAATATAAGTTTATAATTAAAACTATGTACAGTAAGAACATTAAAACTACAAAATTTGAACTACATAAAAACTTTAATTTTATATGTAAAACACTTAACATTGGCGTAGTCCTATGAGTCGACTACGGGTTAATAACCAGATTTGAAGAAAATTGAATTGAGTGTGTCCTCCTTTTCATGTCTTATGGTAACCCTATTCCTATTCATCAAAGATATTTTACAAGATAAACATTCAAAAAATTATGTGCAAAAATAATTTAATTTAAAAAAAAAAAAAAGACAACCTACCTTTTGTTGAATCTTCTTTTTTGCTCTGTGTGGATTCCTGCTCATTTTGTGTTTGAGTCTTTGGAATCTTTCTCTTCCCCATTATAACTGTTTTATAGGTCAAACAAAAACAAATAAAACAAAAATTAATGCAGGGATAAGTGTAATTGAAACATGACAAATTTAAATAACTTACACAAATATTTTTGAAAGGGCTAGTTTCTGAGATCAAACCCCTCTAATTTATTCTACACTTATTTGGAGAGTGTACAGAGTCAACTTTACTTTTTAGAGTCTAACTTACATGCTTAAGCCACAGAGTTGTACAGAAAATTTAGAGATTCTGTAGTGTAATCATTATATTTAATACATTAGCTTAAATGTTATGCATCCACTAAATTGTCTAATTGTCCATAAAATGTTTAAAAAGTATAATTTGGCACAGGCTTTATTAATATATATATTATTTGTATATTATGATAAATGGTACTGCCATTTTTATATAAATTAAATACTACTCAATGTACAGCATTGATGGGCACTCACACTACTCACAGTTACAGTGAGTGTATACACTTCACAGTCACAGCAGTGCTGAATTATAGTAGTAGTGAAACTAGCTAGGTGTGCCACAAAACTTCTGAGACTGTGTGATATTGCTATTGAAGGCTATTAATTAAAATAATTTCCCTCACTATTTATTTTTAAAACTAACAAGAGACTAAGAGTAATTGCCTATGATTCAAGAACTTATACTTATACTTCTTTCACTGTTTCACAGGGGATTTATTAGCTTATTTTAGCACATATAACCCTTGTGAAAATAAAAATCAACCTCCTATACATAAAAGGTAAGTCATAATATGCCAGAACTCGAAAACTGACAAAATAAAAACGTTGAGAACTACTCCTGTACAGTACAGCCTTGCTCAGAACTTACTGGTACTCAAGTTACTGTGAAAGTGTAAATCAGGAATTAAGTTGGCCTTAATTTAAACATTAAAATAATCAAACCATTTGAATACAATGATTTAAGACATTTAAAAATAATATTATGACTTAATTCAGTTTATATCACAATTTTTATTTACTTACATAAAACAATTTGTGTACGAGGACTACTAATTAAGTCAGTCCTGATTATTTGCACCAATAGTTTAATCGATTTTCGTATTTCTAAAAAATCTATGTTTTTGATTTACTAAATAATAAAAAACGCTAACCTGAAAATGACAAGTTTAAAATATAATATTTTACTATTTTGACTGAGAAGTGACCTCTTAAATTATTAAATGATTAACTGTCATTTTGAACAAAATCAATTAATTATTTAATAGATTATCAAACTTTTAGTTTCCATTTATTTCTCTTAATAACTATAGACTTTAGAGACTAAAGACACTATTTCCCATTTATTTTAAAAAGAAGCATACCGGCGAATTTACCGGTATTCAGAATTCATCCTGCCTAAGTCATAAATCTAAAACTAAAAGTCAAAATTAAGTATAATTAAATTAAAATTTAATTTATTTAATAAAAAGCAAAGTTTATAATCATGATGAATCATAAGCAGTGATCATCATATTGATATGTTGAGATTTTGTACTGTACAAATGTTTTTAAATAACTTTTGAACTCATCATCAAGAATTCATTCCCGTACTTTAACTTTGAATAAAAAAAAAACTCGTATGCCTTATCGTCTAGACCAGTCATTCTCAAAAATTTTCGGTTCACTGGCCCATTGTCTTCCAAAGCTCATGCCTAGTGCCACCTACCATATTCAGTCAAAGTAATGATTTAGAAAAGTGTTTTACAAGCCTCTGAAGTGTATTTAAAAAAAAAAAAAAATCCAAGTGAATCCGTTTCTTTTAAAGAACTCAATGATAAACCTTTAAGTTAAACCTGTAGTAACAGCTTTTCAAAGTCATTTAGCAAGATTTTTTAAATATCACATTTAGAAACCATTTCAGTGCTTAAATGTGGTGGATAAGCTTGATGAAATGATAACCGTTTTTCTACACAATCCACCACGATTATTATTTGCAGGATTTCTATATGATGTTGCATATGAAACAAGTAGCATCTTATCACTGTATTGATCAAAGAAGTAACAGGCTTTTTTTTCTCTAAACCCAATGATTCTGGCAGCGGCGTAGCTAAAGAGTTGGGCCCTCTGGGACAAAGCCTATTTTGGCGCCCCATAGTCTCGAGTCCAGGGACATCTGCCCCCCCCCCCCCGTTTTCCTAGTTTCTGCTGAGAGTAATTTACGATAGGCATTATTTAAAGCTTCAAAGAAGTAACAGGCTTTTTTTTCTCTAAACCCAATGTTTCTGGGAGCGGCGTAGCTAAAGAGTTGGGCCCTCTGGGACAAAGCCTTTTTTGGCGCCCCCTAGTCTCGGGTCCAGGGACATCTGCCCCCCCCCCCCCTTTTTCCTGGGTTCTGGTGAGATTAATTTAAGATAGGCTTTCTTTAAAGCTCAGTTTCATTTTTTGGCTTGATATCATTTTACAGATGCAGGCAAACGTGTTGTTAAGTAAGACTGAGCTCATTGCCTTTAACTGTTTATATCTTTTCATTTGTGTTAAGCATGGGGAAAACTTTTTCTTGAGCCTTTCTTTCCACTTTTCTTTCTTCACACCTACAGATCAGGACTGTGTTAATTCCCCACTAGTAGGCCAACACAAATGTCCCCAAAGTTGGTTGTGTTAATGGGTAATAAGGGGAGAGACTGCAATCAGGTTAGCACAATATGAAATAAGTAAAACAGAGTAAGGTTAAACCTGAAAAACGAAAAAAATAAATTCATTTGCTGCCCTTTGGATACTACTTCTAAGCTAAGTGCTATTTTTAAATTTTAATTTTATTCTGCTTTTTCTATTTTTTTCGCTGACAAAGGCTTCCTGCCTACACTTTCGTTGTTTTGTTTGCGTTCCTTTTTCAAGTTAAACTTTACTTTGTTTTATGAATTTCATATGGTTTTGTTAATGCTTTTAATCTTCATATTCTTCTTCCACATGTTGTTGTTCGTCCGAAGTCGACTAGGACCATCGGGTCATCCAAAGGTTAGGGGGAGGTTGGGTTACGCTGAGCTCGTAGGTGCCTTGCTAGACCGATCCGTGCTCGGAATAATCTTTGGCATCGCGGGCAGGGGACAGTTTCTTCAGACGGTGGCCTAATGTGGCTCTTTCGGGCAAGCCTGCGTGTCTGCACTACAAGTACTTCTCCCACAAGTACTTGTAGTGCAGACATACAATTTTCTATGGTATCAGTTTACAATAAGACAAGAACAGTGCTATTTCCCTGGCAAGATTGAAAAAAATGGTCTTGAACAACACCAATTTAACAGCAAAATTTCTTCTACCAGGCATGCAGGCTCAGTACACAATTTCCACAATCACATTGACAATATAATTCACAAGACAAAGAATCAATAAGTCAAAACATCCTGAGTCATTGACAACAAATATTATTCATGTTTTGCATGTGATGCATCATGACATAAAATGTTTGTCATCAAAATCGGATAAATCCAGGCAATAATTTAATACAAGATAAAAATGAGGAAAACATGGATTTCTTTGGTTTTTTTTTTTTCAGACAATCACCATAGCAACAGTTCTACAACAATCTTAGGTCAAGGTTAATTAATGCTTAAACTCAATGGGCAAGTAGAGGACCAGTGAACATATATGCATGTCAAGTTATGTCAGATACCAAACGAAAGAACAAATAAAAATTCCCCTGCAACAGATAACATATATATTTTTTTTTTAAAAAGCTGACAACTTAATTCTTAATTATTTGAAAATAAAAATATATAAATATTAACTTTCCTAGTTTTTCTGTTCTCTTCAAGTAATTTTAATGAAATTAAAAAGAAACTAACTAAAATGGATTTAGATGAGTTTTAACAAAAAAAATGGGGAAAAAGGGTAAATTTAGCTAGGTCAGTTCTCATGACAGTACAAAATAAATTATCTCTCTAACACACACATTTATTATAAACAGAAAACTACTCCATGTTAACATAGAATGATTAACATTAGGGTAAAATAAGAAACTGAATTCAAAACTTAAAAGTAAGTTAGTTCAAATAAAATTCTACTAAACACAATAAAACTTTTTTTTTTTTTTTTTTTTTTTTTTTTTTTTTTTTTTTGCTTCACATAAAATGTCAAAATAAATGAAAATTTAAGAGATTTCTCCAGACAAGTAATAAAATAAACAGCTTTGGACAGTTAGCAGGTAAAAAAATGGGTAATAGATGTGAACATGAAATTGGGATATGAATTACAAGATACTTCTAAAAATCACTAAAATAAAGGGAACCGATAAAGTATGGTAGCTTACTGTAGCAACATTAATTATAAAAAACAAAAACAACTAAAATTTTAAGAATGAACATAATAGCAACAACAACAACAAAAAAATTGCAATTTAAGATGTTGGGACATGACGAGTACATTAGAAAATGAGACAAGTTTGTCAGTGCAATAAGAAAAACTAGAAATGAATCTCAATGGTCAGATTCTTAAACCAAAAAATATCTTTTTCTTCGATCATTAAAAAAAAAAAGCTTAAAAGTTACTGTTAATGAAATAATCTGACATCTGCATCACCACTAAAACAAGAAAAATAAGCTAATCACCACTAAAACAAGAACATTCAGCTAATAGTTGCAAAACTTTAAATCTAGGGTAATCCCATTATAAGAATAGTTCAGTTCATTAAGTTCTTACAAAATAAACCATGATGGAGTATAAAAAATAAACTAAAAAAAGCATACTGAGAAATTCATAAGAGATTACTGCTAACAACATCTTAATTTTAGTAAGGACAATAAAAAAAAACATTTAATAAAAAATCATACTCTTTAGGGGTGAAAATATTATGTTTAAAATAAATATATGCTCATCACTGTTAATAAAACAAGTGTATTTAACAAAGTGTATTTGACGAACAGTATCTATCTTATATGCATTTTTAGCCTATGAATTTCACAGCCTAGAAATTTGTTAGTGGTTGTCTTATTTATGATGACCCATCACTGTCCTGCCTCAGTATGGACACAAGGTGAATTTCCCTATCTTCAGTTAAAAGGAAATATAGCTTAACCCTTACATTTAAATGCATTGTCATTGTGACAGCAGATCTATATTTTGACATATTGAAAAATCAATTTAAATAATGTACCATGAAAGGATAATGCTGTTTAGTAAAAAAAAAAATTATAAAAAAAAACAAAAACAACATGAAACATACAAAATTATTTATATTTTTGGTTTCTTTTACAAACCTCTGATGTTGCTCAGATGTTGGTGTTAAGACTGAAATATATATATATATATTTTTTAAAAAAAAGCTTAACAAAATCTGTTACTTCAAAAAAAATATTTTAAAAAGATAATTTCTTTAAAGCAATTCAATGTTGACATGAACATAACAGACACTAAAATGAAACAAAGAGTTAAAATTTACCAGTGACAGGAAGGAAGAAAGTTTGATTGTAGAGCAAGTTAAATTTACTTTTATAAAGTTTAACACAGTGACATAATACATACATTGTTTTTAAAAATCTGTGATTGTCGGTATAATACTACATAAAATTTCATGCAACAATTTACATCAATAATCATGTTAAAAATGTTGGAAGCAGTCAAGTCCATAAGATGGTTTAAATAACTGGTGCCAGATACTTTGGTGACTCGATTTATACAAATAATCAACAGCCCAACATCACACACTTGCTATATACTGCACAACAACCTTTAAATAATCACTACAGTACAATGTAACACATAACAACAACTAAAAGCCATTCTTTATTTCAAGTACGAAGTAAATGCAGCAAGTATAATTGAAAAATTATAGAAGAAAAAGAGAACATTTAAAGGTGACAAAGGACTACATGTCAATAATTTATTTAAAAAAAACACCATACAAGACATAAAAAAATAACTTATGGATTGTCTTTTAAATAAGTTCTTTGTTAAAGCTATATTCCAGCTCAGTACATAAATATGGCAATTTTTATATTAGACAAACAAACAATGTGGCACCATCACAATCATTGTCAGGCTAGCGGGACATTGTAGAGAACCAATTCTTTTCACAATCATGCGGAAAATGGATTAAAATTAAATAAATATAATCAACTTATAGTAAAATTAGATG